CGATGGGGAACAGAAACCCGGATAGCAGAGTGGACACCACGTGGCACGGGACTGCGGGCACCCCATGGCCACGGGGACACGGCATGGCACAGCTCATGCCAGCACGGCTCCATACATCCTCCCCACCGCCTCCCTACACACGCACGGACACTTGTGTGCACACCCCCAGCTGTGAACAGACACATCCTCCCCTCCCTCCTTGCACCCATGCTGCACCCCCAAAAGAGTTGTATCTGGACACCAAGGGACATCCAGAGCTGACAAACGCCACGTAAAACCTGCCCCAGACTCAGCTTGGGGATGTCAGGATGCAGCCAGTTGGGGCCACCGGCACCTTGTCAACATTCTTGTCAATTTTGGGGTCTTTTCCCCCATCTTTGTGTCTTTCCCACCATTTTTGACTCCTTCCAAGGGTGGACATCAAGAGCAGATGCCGGCGAAAGGGAGGTCACCTGGCACGGTGGCATCAAGAGGAGGGAGGTGCCCCATTTGCCTTGTCCCCACTCACTGCAGCCACACAGGGGAAACTGAGGCACAGTCACTGTGTCTGCATCAAACCTGTGTGACTCACACCCTGTTTTAACGGATTTTCTCCCCAAAACAGCCCTTAGAGAAGCATTTGCAGGGGTTGCTAAGGGACATGTCCAAGGCTACAAGGGCCATTGGTGGCGGAGGGCATTGACAGCCAGCGCTGAGCCAAAATTACAATGAGCAGCCAAAAAATGAGGGACTCTCCCAACAAAAAATAGCAAACGAGCAAAAAAACCCTCTTTGTAAGAGGGAAACAAGGCACTGAATCCCAGTGCTGCTGGGCTGGGAGGGATAGGAAAGCTGGAGAACAGGAGGAAAATCCCTTTTGATCCCAGGAAAAACCCAGCTGCAGGATGTGCCGAGCACAGACTTTCTATTAGACACAGGAGAATCCCCACCCCAACTGTACCCACTGCCTCCAGCTACCCATAATCTCGCGCTCCCACTCTGCTATCACCCATAAATTGCTGCTTCTTCCAATTAATGAAGTCACATCCTGCTGCTGTGCCCGTGGCACGTCCCTGGGTCACAATCTGGCCTGGTGGATTAAGCAAAAAAAATCCTTTTTTTCACCCCTCAAAACCATCACAGAGACCTCTGGCAGCTCTTGGGGTGATGGAGTGGATGGTCTCCATACTCAGCCTCCCCTAAAACCAGACATCCATGGGATTTTAGTGACCTGAGTCCAGTGCCCTGACACCACGGTGATGGGCACAGGCAAAATCCATCATGTAACGAGCCTTGCAGGGGAGAAAAAGGGATTCTCATGGTGTTGGGGTGTTCTGCAGGATGGGATTTAGGTACCTGAGAAGGAGGAATGGGGTTAAGATAGAGAAGTGCTTTCAAACCATCCATATGGGGGGATGGCTTCCTCCCTTGGAAGTCTTCCTCCTTGGTTTGTCCTGCTCTGGGAGGGGATCATGGTGAGGACATCTTGGTGGCTTGATGGCAGAGCTGGGATGGTGGAGGTGGAAGTGAAAGCTCTAGTTCAGCAGATTTCAAAGGGGATGAAGTGGGGATGCTCTCGCCCTGCGTGTGTCGCTTGGCCAAAGCCACAACGTCCCCGTCCCCAAACATCTCCCGGCTTCTCCCAAAATATCTTCAGGTGCCCATGGGTGTGTCCCACCTGCCACAGGGTGGTTGCAAACCAAGGCTTGGGTGCTTTGAGGGAAATCTCCATATATCAAAGCCCAAAGATGTAATGATGTGGCTAAATTGAGCGAGATCAGCAAATTTGGGTGCTTAATGTGGACCCGTAAGGACACAGGAACAGTCCCTCCAGCGACGCTGCTGCCAGTGTAATCTGCCTTCAGGTGACTCCCTTCACCTCCCCACGCTTGGGTGCCCCATCTTGAAAATAAATCAGTGTCTCAAGGCTGCTCTGAGCAACCCAGGCAGCGATTTTCCTGCTGCAAATGGGAGATGCTGGGCATGGGGAAAGTGCAACGAGTTGGCTTGATCTCAGCTGGCAGCACTGAGGCTCTGGCTGGGCTGGTATAAACTCATAAATATATATGTAGAGGCAAATATACACACATATGCATAAACATATATAGAGAAGCATATACACCTCTCTGTATATACATCTCTATACATACATGTACATCTATACACATACACAGGTCTTTATATGTAAATATACTTCTACACCTATATATACAGCTCTACATACACATGCATACACACACATACATTCCTCTATTTTTAAAAATGTATACATCTCTGTTCACACACACATATATATACAAACTTCTATACTTATATAAATATATGTCTCCGAGCACATTGACTCACACGTGTATATGCATAACTCTATCCATATATATATATATATACACACAAATGCTTCTACACACACGTCTGTGCACACATGTTCATATATACAAATATATGTACAAGCAAATATAGACGTGTGGAAAAAGGCAGGATCCTGGCACCCACAACGGAGACGCCAGGGAAGACCAGGTCCCTCGAGTTGCTACGAGGACACTCTGTGACACCAACTTGGGCACGGGGCTCATCCCTACGGATGCCCTGGGAGATATGGGTGCACCCCGGGTGCAGCCCAGGCTGTGGGAGCTGAAGGACCAGGGTGAACCCACCCCACTGAGCTGCTCACCAGGTGTGATTTTAAGCCCTGCTCCGTGGTAAAAGCTGCTAAACCTCCCTGAAAGTCCAGCACCTTCCATTCCAGCAGTGCTTTGGGATCACCCTAAAGACCAGCCGAAGCACTGATGCTCCCTGGATCTGACCCAACACCCTCCGGATCACACCCTTTCCTCTCCAGTTCTGCTTTATCCTGCACAGTTCGATCTGATCTGCTCGGGTCCAATCCTGCCTGGCTCAGTCTCATCTGCTTGGGTCCGATCCTGCCCAGTCTGGTCCCAGCCTGCCTGGTACAGTCTGACCCTGTCGGATTCCATCCTGCCCAGTTTGGCCCCATCCTGCCTGGATCCACATCCCATCCCGAGTGGTTCTCTCTGACCCGCTCGGGTCCCATCCTGCCCAGTTTGGTCTGACCCTCGGGTCTCATCCTGATCCCGTATTTTCTGACATGTTTGGACCCGATTCTTCCTGCTCTGGCCCCATCCCACCCAGTTTGGTCTCATCCTGATGGGTTTCACCCTGCTCGGTTCAGTCT